CTAGTTGCAATGCTTCTTTTGTTCTTTTAAAATGCTTATATGAAATTGGGTCTATTTCTGCCTAGCCAATCTGTTAAATTGATGTATAAACTGGATAATGTTTTTGGGGTCTTTTTCCTGCTCCCAATTAAGCCATCTTCAAAATTTTCTTTGCCATCTTCCCTGTTTATTCTTCCAGATGAATTTAAAAATAATTATGTCCAATTCTAAAAAGACTCTATTGTGATTTTTACTGTAATTACACGAAGCCTAAAAATAAATCAAGGAGGAATTGACATCTTTACAATTTTAACTTTGCCACCCAGGGAAGTTTTTCTTCTTGAATTTTTCCCATATTTCTCAACAAAATCTGGTTGTTTTCTTCACTTAGATCATTCACCTTCAAATAAAGGTTATTTCTGCGGATTTTCTATTTTAGGTTGTTTTCTAATTGGGCTGTTATGGGGGTATATAGGGAAACTTGCTAACTTGACGACTGTCCAGTTGACACTAATTGTCAAGGCATTCTGGTTTTCTGAGCTGACCCCCTACAGGTCTGAGTTATGACCTCTGGAGTTAGACAAGTAAAACTGCTGGTCCCTCCACAGGACAAATTTCCATTCCTTGGCCGACTGCTATCAAGTTTTCCCTCAGCCTTCCTTTGTCCTGGATAAACAACCCCAACGGATAGTGTGACAACAGTATTTGGGGAAGATTCAAATGACAGCGGTGAGGAGGGTAGATTTGGGGCAGGTTAGACCAGAAGGTGAGGAACCAGTGAGGACTGGCTTCATGGTAATCCAAGCTTAAAGGCCGTCTAAGACAAGGCTGTGAACATGGAAAGGGGCAAGTCTGAGAGAGATTTCAAAAGAGGAAACATTAGGATATGTTGACAAGCGGGATATAAGGGACAAAGGAATGAAAAGAATAGTCAGAGATGACTTTAAACATTCTAGCCTGAGCCCTGGCCAGTTGGCTCAGTTGGTTAGAGCGTCGTCCCATACAGCAAAAGTTGTGGGTTTGATTCCTGGTCAGCGCAACCAATTGATGTTTCTCTCTCTCTCTCCCTTTCTCTTTCCTTTCTTCTCTCTTTAAAAAAAAAAAAAAAAAAAAAAAAAATCAATAAAAACATCCTCGGGTGAGGATTAAAAAGAAAATAAAAATTTCTAGCCTGAATCACTGAAGAGTGAGAGAGACTGAATAGGACTTAGTCAAGGTTTGTGCTATAAACCAGTTGTGGAATAATAGAAAAACTACAGATCGGTCTCTGCCCCTGGTTTCTGACACAGAGCTCCTAAAACCCTTGTAATTTAAGTCATAGGGCAGTAGGAGCATCTTTCATTGAGGAGACTCTGGGTGGGCTCTGGATGGGGGCTGGTCACCAAAAAGACCAAGCCATGATTAGAACCTTGGAATTTGCAGCCCCACCCCCTATCCTCCAGAGAGGGAGAGGGCCTGGAAACGGAGTTACTCGTTGATCACGCCTACATGCGGAAGCCTCCCGAAAACCCCAACAGCATGAGGGTTAGAGAGCTTCCGAGTTGGTGAACACATCCACATCGGGAAGGTGACACAGGCCGATCCCACAGGGAGTGAAGCTCCTGCACCCCGGACCCTCCCAGACCTCACTTATTTATCTCTTCATCTGATGTCCACCTGTATCCTTTATCAGGTCCCTTAATAAGCTGGTCAATGTGTCGCCCTGAGCTCTGTGAGCCTCGCTAGCAAATTAATCAGTCGGAGGAAGGAGGGAGCATGGGAACCTCCGATTTGTAGCCAAGTTGGACAGAAGTAGTGGGTAACCTGGCGACCTTCTCCTTGCAATGGGGTCTGAAGTTGGGGGTGGGGGCAGTCTGTGGGACTGAGTCATTAACCTGTGGGGTCTGACACTATCTCCAGGTCAGAATTGAGTAAAACTGTAGGACTCCCAGCTGGTGTCCCAGAGAATGGCTTGGTGCGGAGAAAGAGGCTGCACATATTCAGAAGTGTTTCTGTGTGAGTAGTAAGAACAGGAGACACACAGGTTAAAAAAAAAAAAAGTTTTTCCTAAACACCAGTGTTTTTCGAAAATTTCCCCCCTCAATAATATATTTTATACAGCTGGCCAGTTCACACACAAGCACACATAGACATAATACAGATAGAAGGGTCCCCAAACTCCTGCAGACATATGCAAGTTTGGGCCTGGAACACTAGCAAGAGGGAGGGAGGCAAGGCCTAGGCGTATAATTGGCCCCGAATTGATAAAGTCCTGAGGACGAATGACTTCCTTGCCCTCAGCTGTCTGAGATCCTACGGTGTAAGACTTGGCCACCAACACCCTGCCAGGAAATTAATTACCTTGCCACCATCTACCCTCAACCCCAGGTGCCAGAGGGTTCCAGGGGAAGATTCCGGCAGAAAGGCCACACACTTTTTAGAGTTCAAAGTAGATCTCCCTGCCAACCCACAGAGCACACGGAGCTGAAATGGCTCACCTTTCAAAAACATCTCCTTTAGCCTCAGCCTCGATGAGGATTTTCCTTGGAGAAAGGAGGGTGCTACAGGATGTTTGGGTCTCCAACTTTGAGTTTCAAGGCCATGGCACTTGGAATTGGGACAGGGACGACAGGAAACAATTTCTCCTTGCAAAGCTCGAGTCCTAAATTGAAGCGTGGAAAAGAGGCCAGCGGCCCTAGGCTAACATCTACTGTTGGGACAGAGCCTGGACGAGCTCAGGCCCAAGCTCCACAACGCTTGGCCCTGAGGAGCGGAGGGGAAAGACGGGGGGAACCCACGGATTATTAGAGGACCCACGAATAGCAGCAACACAATTTGAAGAGCTGATTAAGGAGGGAAGGCAGCCTTTTCTTCCCCAGGGGGCATTACCCTCCCCGGTCAAATGATCATGTCAGAGCATCTTTCCAGAGTAAATCTTGGAACATTTCATAGCGAAAGGTTTTCTAAATAGAGATGAAAGGGAGCAAATCCACTTCTGGCTTTAGAAAGTTCGTTTCTGAAATGTCCCGATGCCCCCTCTGGTTGACGTACCATGTCCCCATCGGGGTCCCTCTGTTCGGGGGAGGGGAGCAAAGGAGAGGTGGGAGGACAGGAGCAGTAGCTCCGGAGGTGAGCTGCTTTTCCCACGGGAGCCGGAGCTCCCGGTTTAGGTTTACAGGAGGCTGCGGATGGCTGCGTGTCTGGGCAGCTCTCAGCACCCAGCTCGGAGAACCTGGCCTTCATGGCAAAGGTCCCAGGAAGCCAGGCTCAATCTCCCTCCACGGAATGTCCAAGAGGCACAGAAGAGTTGGCCTAATAGGGCCATAGAGGGGCCACTGAAGTCAGGAGCCACTTCCTCATACACTGCCTGGGCCCTGTGCCTTACCTCATTCTCCTCTGGTCCCCATCCTTCCTCCATCTCCAATTGGAAAGGTTGCAGGATGTAAACTACCTTTCCCTCCACTACTCACTCCTCCCAAAGGCCCTCCTTAGCCTCTGTGGCAAGCCCCTGCTCCTTTTGGTGGTGATACAGCTAAACCAGCGGTTCTCAACCTGTGAGTCTCGACCCCTTTGGGGGTCGAACGACCCTTTCACAGGGGTCGCCTAAGACCATCGGAAAACACATATAGAGTTACATATTGTTTTTGTGATTAATCACTATGCTTTAATTATGTTCAGTTTGTAACAATGAAATTGGGGGTCACCACAACATGAGGAACTGTATTAAAGGGTCGCGGCATTAGGAAGGTTGAGAACCACTGATCTAAACTCTAGGAAATACACACCAGAGGCACTTTTTTTTTTTTTAAATCCAAGGAAACTCTCAGTGTGGATTCTAGTCTCCGAGTGTCTCCAGAACTTAACTATCTCCAACTGGGATCTCTGCTTATCCCACCAAGCCCTGAGGCCCAGGTCGAGAGCCACCCCTTCCTGTATGACAGTCACTCACTCCCGCCACCCTCCAGCCTGACAAGTCCTCTTGGCACCTTAGGCCACCCCACCCTGCTTCCACCCTCTTCACATTCTGAAAACAAGCACAGCCTAGATAGATATGCCCATGCCAAGCCAGGCTACTAGAGAAAGTGAACTGGGCCTGTCAGAAGACAAACGCAGGTCTGGATCAGGTTTCTAGTCCTTTCTGAAACCTGGGGTATGAATTACCTGGGAAGTAGAAAGAGGAAAAAAGGCGCCAAGAAAAATTTACATTCTTTCAGTTGAAGGAGAAAGGGGGCTAGAAAGGAAATGGCCAGGGATGAAGAGGGTTGCATTTCCAGTTTCTTTGGTCCAGAGATTCATGTAAATTCAGCTATGTCCCCATTGGGCCCTGCAGTCAACTACTTTCTTGGCAGAAAGAAAAAGATCACTGGACTAATCAGTGATGGCAAACCTTTTGAGCTCGGCGTGTCAGCATTTTGAAAAACCCTAACTTAACTCTGGTGCTGTGTCACATATAGAAATTTTTTGATATTTGCAACCATAGTAAAACAAAGACTTATATTTTTGATATTTATTTTATATGTTTAAATGCCATTTAACAAAGAAAAATCAACCAAAAAAATGAGTTCGCGTGTCACCTCTGACAGGCGTGTCATAGGTTCGCCATCACTGGACTAAATGAATGATGCTCAGAGATGGCCAAAAACTAAACCCTTAAATAGCAGTAGCCAGACTGCTTTTCATTTCGCAGAAGACGTGGTTACTCAGCTACCTCCAGTGCTGATTGGTAAGTCCCTATCACAGGATCTCCGCCTCTGACCAGTTCTTTTCCAATTAAAGGCACACTGGCCTAGTATCCCACAAGGCCACCACCCCAGGCAGGGTCAAAGGTAAAGTTGACCTTATAACGAGGACTCAGGCCACGATGTGGAGCTGCTTATCGGGGACATTTTAACTCCTCTGAATGCCACCAAACCCTCACACCACAGGGTTTGGAGGTCTGGACCACACCTCCCAGAAGTGGTCAACAAGGCCGTCTTCAAGAGGCACTGAGAGTGCCTCATCCTTCTTGCAAGTGAAAAGAAATCAGGCCAGGAGCTCAGAGAGACACATGAACATAATTTATTAAACTCACCATACAAAGAAGATAGCACAGGAAAAAAGATAAGAACCGAAAAGGCCCATGGAAATCAACCAGTCTGATCCCCTGGTTTGTTTTATTTATTTATTTTAAAATATGTTATTATTGATTTTTTTTTAGAGAGAGAGGAAGGGAGAGGGAGAGATGATAGAAATACTGATGCTACAGAAGCACTGGGGATCGAGCGCACCACTCGGGCATATGCCCTGACTGGGAATCAAACCAGCAACCTCTTGGTGCATGGGATGACACTCAATCCACTGAACCAGGGCTACACCCTTGGTTTTACCAATGAAGAAACTGCACGAAGAAACCAGAACACCAATATAGACAAAGCCAGAACGACACCCAGAAACACCCAGACTTAGGCTTCTGGTCTTGAACCAAATAGAACCTAAAGACTTCATCTACGTTTGTGTTTTATTTTTCTGTGCCCTGTAGTGCCACTGATGCTTTTCTCCCTCTTGATGCTACAGGAGGAGCCCTAACCAAAACACTACAGTGGCAGAGTCGTTCAGAGCCAGGACAACAGACCCACAGGAAGCAGAGGGGTGTAGAGGGGTTCGGAAAAGAATTCAATTCCTCCCCAAGAGTCCTGATCACCCTCTTCCCCCAAAGATACATCCAGACCTGATGTCTCAGGGCGAATATACTTGCCTTCCTGAGGCAGAGATCAGGTGTTGGGGAGGAAGGGGTAAGAAGCCGGTAGAGGAAAGAGAAAGATTTATAACAATGTCGTTCTGAGATGAAGTCCAGTGGGAACACTTTTCCCAGCGTCGAGCCAATCCAAACATCGCAAGAGAAGGCTGTAGAACTCAGTTACTGAATCAGTTGTGAGATATAAGCAAAAACACCAATAACTTAGCAAAATAAATACAATGAGAGTCTCGCTGAGATTGATAATAACCCAGTGAAAATAGATCTTAAGCTCCAAGTCAGTCAAGATGACTGAGGTGTACCTTGTACCACATCTTAGGGGAATCCCTAAGAGATTTTGGGAGTCTTCGAAGCAGAGAAGTCACACGGAACTGTCTGTGGCCCTACACAATCCTTCTGCTCAAAGCTACACCCTGAGTGTACATCCCCTTCTCCCCAGAAAGACAGGCTGGCCAGTCGAAGCTGAAGGAGACCCGGGTCAGCATGGGCTGAGGGTGGAATTGGTAGAAAAACAGTCTGTTGCTAAGAACTGCGCTGTGTTTTGTGAGGAACTTGGTCCCCCGGGACACTGTCCAACATCTGGGTCTCCACCTTCCAGAGCTGAGGCAAATCTTGTCATCTCTTCACTTCTCCCGACTGGCCGAGGGCCCGGGGCAGCTGAGCCCAGTCTACAGCAGAAGGGAGGCTCTGCTAAGAGAAAAACAGTAACTACAGGGATAAGGGTGCCGCCCTGGCTCCTGCCAGCAGGATCCTGTCCGCCAAGGGCTGCAGTGTCCAGAGGAGGCGCTCATCCTCTATCCACCCAGCAAACCGAGGACAGGCGCTCAGACGCGGGCCACAGCCCCAAGCCCTGAGGGCAGCCAGGGAACCGTCAGGAAGTCAAAGTCAGTGCTCACGGCCAACAGGGGTGGCGCCAGAGTTTCTCCACAGGCGAGAGGCAGCAGCAACAGCATCCTCCTCCTCCTCAGCTCATGTTTCCACCACTCGGATGAGAGGCATGGGCTTAGGGCTGGGGGGCTTGGCTATCCTAACGCTGAAAAGAAAATGGGAGACACTGAGTCCAGGGTTGCTGCCCGCCCCGCACAGAGCTGCCCTTCCACTACATTCGTCTCTGGAATCCTACACTTCAGCGCCGGCTGAGCTCCTGGGTTCCAAATGCTTTGGGACAGTCACTGTCAGTGACAACTAAGGGAAGACTTGGGGGGGACTGTGGTCTGGGGGCAGGGGTGATGAAGAGAGAGGGGGCAGCTCAACAACTGAGAAGTGGGTATAGCTGTGATTCTTGATTTTATTCAAAGTCTAGGGCTTTTTTGTGCATCCTTTGAGGGAAAAAGGCTTTCTCCCTAGAAATATGCACATATTACACATCCACATTTTTGCATACAATTTCAGAGGGTTCAGACACCTCCATTAGCTACCCGCTGGCCTCCTGGGGGTCTTGGTAGCTCTAACCTGGTCAGAAAATGGTTTGGGTGGAGAATGGGTCCGATTAGAGACTGAGAGAACACACTGGGATTTGAGAGAGCCTTGTCCTTGCCTTAGCACTACAGGCTTGTCACAGCTCTGTCCCCCTTCCCTTCACTTCCTCCCCGGCCCCACTCCACGACGCCCACTCACCTGCCCAGATTCTCGGTCTTGGCCCAGGTCTGGGTGCTGAAGTTGGCGTGACTGACCTGCTTCTCTATCAGGTGTTCCATCCGGTCGTGCATCTCTAAATTCTGTGACACACGTTGTGAGGTTAGAATTCGCCTGCTTCTGGCTTGCCACTCATCACTTAACCAACTCGTTCTGGTCTCTCCACCTCTGTGCTGGTGCTGCTGTCGCCCCCGCCCCTGCCATGGAACCACCCCCAGGGGGACCCAATCCAGATCACTCTGTCCTCCAGTAATCACTCCAGCCCCCTTCCCTGAGGAGTGTTCTCTCAATAGCTCTGTGCCCCACTGACCATTTCCTGTATCTCCTCCCTGTACATTTCCTGTATATAATTTCCTGGAGTCAGTTGAGATCTCTACTTGCCCTGGTTGATATGTTAATCCATAAAGTATTCTGAGGTCTTTTAAAAAATGTATTATATAACTCTAGACTGCAAACTCTCTGAAGATCAACAATCCTGTCTCTTCCATGTCTTTTTATATCTCCTGCCACAAGGGAATTTCACCCGGTGGCTGCAAAGCAACCTTCAGGTAGTCGATGGACAGGGGAGGCTCTGGGTAAGGCGGAAGTCATACTAGGGAGCACTCATTAGCTACTCGAGCCCATCACCTTGGCCATGGAGAGACTCCCCCAGAGAATCCCTCCTCCTTCAAAGCCCTGCTCTGCTGTCAGCTCCGCGGCTAAGCCCACGGGCAGGATGAAGGGCTTGCCTCCGTGCTGCCAGGACGCGGGGCTTGTACCACGATGACATAGCTCTTCAGAGTGGGGACAGGTTTACCACTGATTCCCTGAAGGTTCTCAGAAATTGCTTACTCAGCTGAACCTGTCATCCCAGATACTCGCCTCCGGGCAGCCGCTAGACAAGACCCCCGCCCCCCAGCCCCTCTCCCTCCCTGGGGCTGCCCAGCGCACGCACCTCTGCTTCCAGGTAGGCCATCTTCTCCTTGAGCTCCTGGATGCTTGTGTCCTTTGACTGGATCACAGCTTTGGAATTCTGGAGCTGCAAAGATGTGGGAGACACCGGAGCTCATTTCAAAACGACTCATGACACACTCACCGAACTTCACCCCGCTGCCAGGGCAGCCAGCAGAGACCCAAGGCAGAGTCTGCGGCCTTCACGTGACTGGCTTGGTTTTTCTATAAAAGCCTCGTTTCAGTCATATTAAACTCTGGATTATCCCAGGTGTAGGGTAGGGAGGTGAGGGGAACACCATCCTGACATCCCCAAATAATAGATGATTCCAAAACCATTCCATTTGCCTTTGGGAAATACAACTTCTTTACTCATTTAAGAAATATGTATTGAGTGCTTACTATATGGCAGGCCCCATTGCAGACAACAGGAAACAGCAGGGAACAAAGCAGAAAAGGCCTGGCCCTCATGGAGCTGACGTGCAGCAGACATGCCCGGCCGTGTAGGGCTCTTAAGTTCACAAAACAATTCTGCAAATCGGCATATCCTGGTATGCCACCCTCCCGCTCAGCTGGGGGAAGCAGAAAGGCCGCCATGAGGTGCAGGTTTGATACTCCGCACACAAATAAGCGAGTTTATTGTGACTTGGGAGCAGAAATGTGTTTTATGGATTACTTACGAATCTAAGCCAAGCCCCCCAGGAGAATAAATTAATAAAAGCATAGACTTGACAGGCAAGTGGGGCTTGACTCAACGCAGTGACTTCCAGAGGGGGCAACCCACGGCAGGAAGGGCCGGCCCTGCTTACCTGCTCTATCATTTGCCGGACCTTCCGCTGCTGGCTCTTCAGCATGTCATCCAAGTGGTGGATCTTCTCCCGCAACCCAGCCACTTCCTTTTCCAGGTTAGCAGCCCTGGGGATAGAGAGCAGGAGGCTGAGGCAAGGCGGAAAGATCTTTTGTCCACCCAGTCCCAGGAAGAGCCCTGGGCTCAGGGTCCCCTCTGCCCGACTCCGCAGTGGTCTGCCCTAGAAGTGGGTGGGGGAACGTCACATTGGCAGTGTCACTAGAGATCCTGTAGCCCAAATGAGGAAACTGAGGCACAGAGAGGTGAGAAGTGGTAAGTCATTCTGGAGAGTTCTAGAGGGCAAAACCAGAACCAGTGGATAGGTGTTCCAAGGAAGACGTTCTCAGCATTAAAGCTGCCAGAATTGGACAGCCGTGTGTGTAGTGAGCGCCTCATTCCTGGAAGGAATCAAGCAGGAGCTGGGATTATGGCACCCAACACCATCAAGCTGGTGGCAGGCATTCTGTATCCAGAAGGAGAACATATTGGAGGATCCGTAAAGCCTTTTCTACAAGTCTGTTCCTAAGTCTCCCGATTCCTAGACACTGCTGTTTCCTTTGCACCTGCTGAGCAAACTCGGCCAAGATCCCCCACGGTCAGGCGGCTGGGAGAGCATCTCAGAGCTTAGCCTCGAAAGCATTCTGGTGCCCATTCTCTCCGGTTTTGCCGGAGGAAGCAGACAAGTGCCTGCTGTTAGAAGGACAGCAGTTATGGGGGTGGAGTACAATGTAATCGGAGGCCCCCAACATCCTTCCTAATTTCAAACATTCTAAGTGTCCACCCTCAGCTCTCCAGTTTCCACCCTCTCAGTAGCCTTTTGTGGTTATCCCAATGAGAGAAAATGCCACAGCAGACTGAGGTGTCCAAGAAGGCAGGATCGTGTCTCTTAATCCTGGAATTCCTTAGAAGGCCCTTCAGGTCATGTCTGTTGAACTTAAAAAGGTCCAACTCATACAATGAAGATCAGACCCAATATGCTGATGCTGAATTTGATTTACTATTGGAGATCTTATTCATCAATTCTTGAAAGTCCAGAATGGCCCAATATTTGCTCTGTAGGTTCCCCTGGTCTGAGACCTCCAATCCCCGCTGATAGGAGGGAATATGCAAACCCCTCTAACCTCGCAGTGGAAAGGGTCTCAGAAATCCCCTATGTTGTATTTTTCGTCAGCACAGCTTGTGAGGAAGTTACTCGATTTTACCCTCAAATAGTTTAGTCAGTTGTTGTTCTTGGGGGAGGACACTGTGGTGTAACAACCCCCCATCCACATCTAGGGAAATAGCCTGTGGGAGCATGTGCTGCAACGACAGATGCTTTTCCAGCTCTTGACCTTGGCTCTCAAAACAAAACCCTTATCTTGAGGTGGTTATTCCATGGAAAATGAACTCCCAGAGATGGCAGCTTCCCACACAGTCTCTCCCTGGGCGGGGCCCACCTGAGCTGGCACACGGTGAGTCAGAGCTGGAAGATCTGACGTCAGCACCAGCCTCTTCCCCAGGTCTGGCCACCCTGGGAGCTCCAGGCTGCACGGCCCGCCCTCCCCTCCCCTCCCCTCCCCTCCCCTCCCCTCCCCTCCCCTCCCCGCACCCCAGCTTACGGTGATCAGGGCCCTTACTTTTCCTGTTCTGCTTGGCAGTCAGCATTCTTGCTCCGAAGTTCTTCCAGGGCCGCCTCCCCTTCCCTGACCTTCTCCAGTGAGGCCTGATGCTCCTGGAGGGGCCAAAGGGAAGAAAGTCTAGGATGAGGAGATGGCAACAGATTCCGCATTTGGGGTGAGATGGCCACTAGGGCTGGGGCTCAGCCCCTACTGCCGCTGGGACAGTGCCAAAGAGCAGCAGGCTAAGCTGGTTTGATGGGGTGCCCTCCACTGCCAGGGAGAAGCCTTCCCACCCTCAGCACACAGAAGCTTCCCAGCCTCACCCAGCTGCCCGGAGGGAGCCTGGCCCTCACTCTCCAGGCCCACCTGCCAGCTGTGGCTGCCCATCCCTCAGAAACCAGGCCACGTGGCTCCTTAAGAACGGGCTTCAAAAGCCCATAGAGGCAGCTGTCCAAGAACCCAGCTACATGGAAATGGGCTCAACTCCAGCTAGCAAGGGCTGAGGTTAGATGAGAGAAAGCCCTTCCTCCTTCAATGCTAAAGGATACTCCGCAGGCTCCCGCAGTTACCGTCTCCATCCCCAGCAAGCGCCTCTGCAGCTCTCTGATCTCCACCTCTTTCTGCTCCGCCCTGTCCTCGGCTCTCTGAAGGGCCACGTGACTCTGCTCAGCTTCTCTCTGGTATCGGCTGAGTGTGACCTAAGACACAGGATGGGGATGTATAAAGCTGGGGGGACAGGGGGTCGAGAGAGACCAAACGTGGATAAAAGCCTTAGAAAAGAAACTAGGAACCGGGGTGCGGTGACAGGAGAAGGGGGCAACTCTGATGAACACATGGTCTCTGTTCTAGGAGCACTCGGGAGACCAGCAGATTAATTCCGGGGTTCATGGGCACGTCGTTGGCCAAGGTCTTTAGAGTAACACACGGCGGTGAGCACCCCTTTCCAAAGGCTAACTTCTTCAGCATCCCCACACGCCCTCCGCTGCCACCCAAAGTCACCCAACACTGACTTTCCCACTAATGCAGGCACGGAGAACCCAGGGGAGCAATCTCCATGTCCGCCCTTCTGCTCCCCAGCTCTTCCTCACCCTCGCTTCAAGCCACGCTGCAGTCTACATACGAAGACCAACGGCTACCAAGCACCAGGAAGAATTGCGTTTTTTATCTAAGATGATAACGTAACTTGGAAAGAATACAAGCACAGTTTTAGAGTGAAAAGTAAAGTAGGAACTTGCTTCCTGTCCTTCCACATGCATTTTGCCAACTCCTAGTTATCCCTCCGGTCTCAGCTTACACACCCCTGCTTCCAGGGAGCCTCCAAGCCTGGATGAGCCACCACAGAGGACACACGGCCCTTCCCTCTCAGAGCGCTGAGCAGATTTTGCCAGTCACTCATGTGTGTCCCCAGGAGACCATCAGCTTTATGATGGCAGAGGCGGAGACCATTACATTTCCAGAGCTCAGCATGGTATCCACCACGCAGTCACCGCTCGATCAAATCTCCAATGGAACTGATGCTCATCTAGCCCAACCCTCTCCTTCCCCAACTAAAGGTCAAAGGACTTATTCGAGGTTACACAGCTAGAACCCTGTTACTCCCTCATCCATTTCAATGCTTCCCAGTTACCCCACGCTGACCCCCTAACCAGTTACTAAGAGAACCTCGGCAATCGCAGGAAAGCCTAACCGGCCCTGGGAAAATAGAACACCAGAAGCCAGTTTGTCCAGCTCCTCCCAAAGGCAGAATCAGGGAGGAGAAAGCAGAGCCCAGGATGATGGGCGATAGGACGTGTCCATGCTGCACACCAGCCCCGTCCAGAGCAGACTCACTGCAAATCCCTCCTGACAGCAAGCAGCCAGTAGAACGAGAAACCAGGCTTAATGGTAGGTTGTTTTCATGGTAATTGACAACCGTGCCCTTCCTACCCCCGGGTTCAGAAAAGTAGACCAGAGACCAGTTCATTGGTAGAGACTGAGAATATCCGACGTTAGCTGGGAGCAGGCCAGCCCCATGGGCAGGAACGTAAAACAAGGCCTCTCAATTTCTGAACATAAACACTGTACCAGGTTGGTGTGTGCTCCAAGCACGGCATAATAGGCCTGGGACTGACCCTCCCACTTACCGTAGGATCACAAAGGAGAGCCACACTCCCCTGCTACATCTGCCCCTGTAACTCCAACCAGCCCTGCCCTACAGGAACCTCTTCACCATAAGTGTGCCGACCTACCCCAATGGGAGGACCAACGCAAGGAGTACCTGCTGTTTGCGGGTGGGTGCTATGTACCATGGGATTAAAGGGCAGCCCCTCCTAAGAAACCATGGGCATGCGCTATAGCTGCCAGGGGCCTTCTAGCCTCGGGCTTTTACTCAGGGCATTGCTCAAGCTTTGAAACCCAGGGCTAACAGAGCCTTCTGTGTGTGGCCCACACTGACAAGCACTTCACAAAGCCTCTCAACGCAGAAGTTCCTCTCCAAAATGCACACCCGGTCAGTACTGCAGCCTCAACCTCCCCTTCCTCCTGTTCCCTGAGGAAGTAGGGAACCAAACTGATGCATCACCAGCCACATCATCCAAACTGTGGAGTCCGAATGCACGTGGCAAACTGCTTTACTGCACAGCTACTCTGTTCTGAGACCAAGGAATCTCAGCGCTGCCCCAAGTCCAAACTATTTAAGAGAGGAGAGCCTGCTTGCTGAACGGATCACTAAGAAAAATACGGGGTATCTTACATTTCTAAGCCCTTGAGAGTAATCAATATATTTACATATATGATCAGACGCAAGCCACACGTCAAATGTATTTCACGGCCACTTTTTTTCAAAAGTTGAAATTGATGCTTAGGGAGGTCAATCCCTTGTTCCAGTTAACACGTCAGCTACTGTAGAGGCAGACAGTCATTCTCAGTGCCCGTCTTCCTCACCCTCAATCCCCCCACTGCCCAAAACCCTCAGGCTCATGAAAGAGAACAGTTGGGTGGCCTTCCCCTTTCCACCAGCTCTCTGCACGTCTGGGCAGGGCATAATTCTGTCATTACATATTTATGACATAAATACCTCCCATGTGGATGAACAACAGCAGGTAACAGATGGCTAATCTCACACAGAGGGGTTAGAAAAACTGTCCAGCATTTGCCCAGTGTTCCTGAGGTGCTACTCAAAGAACTTTTGGAAGGTATGGAAGACCTCACACACTTTTACTAGTGGGGGGCTTTCACTTCTATTTATAGACTTGCATTTTTAAAATCTCCTATAATAACCTAGTATAATTTTTATAACAATAATTGAGATATTCGTTCAAGATGACAAAGCTCCACAGTACAGCCAGAAGTCCCCGACTCCATGAGCACAGATCTTTCTATGCCCACGAAGGTTTATCCACTCATCTAGTCCACACCAGGCGCCCACCTTATGCCAGGTATTGTGCCGGGTGCTGGGGATGCAGTGGTGAACTTGACAGCAACTGTCCTTGCCTACGTGGTGCCGGGAACCAATAATTCTTATCATGGCACTTAGTGAAACAACGTCTGAATTCCCTGCTATCCCAGACCAGCACCACCGCTCAACTTCAGGAGAGCAGAGAATCAAGAGCTGACCTTTGAACTATGGGCTAGTCTTAGACAGCAAAAGCTACAAGCATTCAGGAGAGGGAAAAGCAGGCAGAAGTGCCCCAGCCTCAAGACCTAGCTTTTCCAGGTGATGGCACCAGCCAGAAAGACATGAAGTCCATATGGAGAAAGTCGCTGGTACCTGCACCCGGCAGCCCAACCCTTGGGGCACCTCCTCCCCAAAGCCCAAATCTCACCTCAAAAGCCACACGGTCTGCCTGGTGCTGCTGCTCAGCCTCCTGCAGCTTGGCCAGCAAGTCCCGCACGGTCTTCCTCAAGCTCTCGACATCTTCACTCATATAGGTGTCCACCTATAGCCAGCGCAGGGCAGGGAAGGTCAAGCCACGATGCTTGTGACTTGGTGAGAGAAGGTTCCCCCCAACACACTTGTTTGGACCATCTTGTCCAGACCACCTTCACAAAGGGATCCTCATCACACAGGGGTTAGTCTCAGGCAGCCAGGAGTTCTGAGTCATTCAAATGAAAACACTCTCTTCATACCCTAACGAACTCAACTAGCCTCCTACCATCCGATTATTTAGGACAGAGTCATTTTCATACACACATGTATCAACTGACTGACAGGTATGTCTATGTCAGTGATGGCGAACCTTTTGAGCTCGGCATGTCAGCATTTTGAAAAACCCTAACTTAACTCTGGTGCCGTGTCACATATAGAAATTTTTTGATATTTGCAACCATAGTAAAACAAAGATGTATATTTTTGATATTTATTTTATATATTTAAATGCCATTTAACAAAGAAAAATCAACCAAAAAAATGAGTTCGCGTGTCACCTCTGGCACGCGTGTCATAGGTTCGCCATCACTGGTCTATGTGGTCCTCATGTGTGTGTCCTGCTTCCATCAGACAAGCTCTCTGAGAGCAGGGATGTTGTCTCCCTTAGGGCAACAGTTCCCCTAGGGCAGGGACTGGGCCACACCCATCACAGGGGAGAGGCCCAAGGCTCATCTTTCACTGTCCTCTGCACCTAGCACAGAGACCAGTATATAAAGGGTTACTGATGGATGGGCAGGTTTAGGGCAAAAGCACCAAATAAGCCCAGGGATCTGAATCCAATAGGAAAAGGTGTCTCACTGATTTTACTGAGTCTCCTGCAGGCACACCCAATCATGCGTTGGTGTTCGGGCTGAGCTGGCATGTAGGGTCTCGCCCCCACCTCTGCAGCACAAGTAGCAGACACCCCAGTGGCCAGCTCCCCGGGAGTCTGACAGACAAACCCCTCCCGGTCTTGCACAGTGGGGAGCAGCAACACCTTCAAACCAAAGCACAGCTGGGAGGAGGGTGACAGGGTCCTGGTCACTGCATTATGACTTAGTCCTGTGGGCCTTCATTTCTCTATCTGTGAATCAGCCAGAGACTCCTTACCACGCCCTGCCTTACAGGCTGCCTCAAAACAAGATAGTATCTGGTAGGGCTTGGAGCTCATGAGAAGAAAGAGGCTGAACAGATAATGTCATGTGTCATTATAACTTGTTGCCAATAGCATATTTACCAACTATGGTGATTCAGGGGGAGAGAGAAATCCAAGCAGCACCTCTGAGGTGAGTGCTGGAATCCACAATCCCAGTCAAGCCTCAGTAAGTTACCCGGTCGGTTCCCCGTATCTGGACCGACGCTGCTGGGCAGATGAGAACCATTTATACGGCTCCTGGAGCCGAATTATTATGAGTTTAGTTCAAATGGCATCCTCAGGACCTGGCGGTTTTGGCTCAGTGTTTACAGCATCGGACCAAAGGGTCACAGGTTCGATTCCCGGTCCAGGGCACATACCTGGTTGGGGTGTGTGAGAGGCAACCAATCAATGTGTCTCATGTTGATGTTCTCTCTCTTTCTCTCTTTCTCTCTCTCTCTCTCTCTCTCTCTCTCTCTCTCTCTCTCTCTCTCTCTCTCTCCCCTCCTCCTCTCTCCTCTCCACTCTCTAAAAAATAGAAAAATATCAATGGAAAAAATATCCTCAGGAGAGGATTAAAAAAATAAACAAATGGTGTTCTCAGAAGACTCTTAACTAAGCAACATAGATAGATCTAAACACATGGTGTTGGATAAAAAGGAAAACACAGAAATAAAGCTCAAGTCCATTATAAAAATCAAAACCACATTTACTAGGCATAGTTAAATCATGTTGGAATGTATTAGAGTGAGTACAGCCACAGAAGGAAATACTACGCTGTTATTCAAAAGCATAAGGTAGATCTACATGTACTGTCATAGAAAGAGGGCTATATTATATGTACTCTTTAGTTTAAAAAAGAATTAAAAAGCAAATAAGGAATAATCATTTACCACAACCCTGTATTTTTAAAAAGAATATGTATGTTATATACATACATTTATACATGTCTATTCATTACATGCGTATATAACAATATATACACATGCATACATACACAGGATATTTAAATATGGTTGCCTATATTTTTTACTAGTAAACACTCTAGAACACAGGTACTCACCTTTGGCTAAACATTACAATAACCTGAAGAGCTTTTAAAAGTCCTGATGCCCAGGCCACACCTCAGACCAATTAAATTACAATCTGTAGGAATGGCATACAGGCAACCCTGTCCTTTAAAGCTCCCACGGTATTCCCAACAGGCAGCAAAGGCCAAGAAGCACTGTTCTAGAAGGATCCACCCATTTCAATCTGTTAACAGTGGATACTTCCAAGGAGTGGGATTAGGGAAGGGGAATTTCTGTTTTATATGTTTGAATTTTTATAGCAAGTTAGTTCTACTCTTATATATAGTGCAGAGGGCGAGAGAAGCAAGAATTAAAGGGGCAGGGAGGAGGATATCCTGCCTCCTGCTAAGCAGCAGTTACCACTGTTTCCTTGTCACCTACCTCAGGTGGGCTGCTATACAGCGTCGTGGGACTTTGACTAAAACCATTTGGCCTCTCTAGCACCACCTGTTCAAAAGGAAAAACAAAAAGCTGGTAGTTGAAACAGTCCCAAGCAACAACTTCAAAACATTCTTCTTCTAAGATCTCAAATCTTAGATAGACAGACAGATAGATAGATAAAGGAGATTGAGGAGGAGGGGAAGGGAGGGGAAACCAGTGCTAGGTGGGAAAATGGAAAGGAGAGGTGGAGAAAGGTATGCTACCTTGGGAGGGAATACTCTAGCCTTGTAGGGAGGAGGCAGGAAACCTCAGGCTAACACCTCTCAACAGACTGGAAAATATGCAGGTCCGTGCCTGGCAGCCCAGGGAATACAAGCAGCTGCCTGCTACGAACAATTGCCCTTGCCTCTTAGGGCTCTTGACAAGGTTTGACAAATCACAAATCAAAAGGGGAAGGAGCATTAGCTGCCATTCTTTCCAACCCCAAACCTGATCCTTCATCACAGGACTGCTGGCTGTGCCAACAAGGGGCCTGGACTTCTGGGCCAGTCTCTGAGCACTTACGTTCTTCAGTCACCTGACAGAGGCCCTCACAGAAACAGATGTGAGCTCAGGCAGCAAAAGTCCTACCTTCAGCCAAAGCAAAATGCATTAGGAGGAATCGGCCACACGGCCAGGACACGCCCAGGCCAAAGGGGAACTCAGCTGGCACTAGCTTCTAGGTCACGATTCCCCTCAGGAGAATGAGGCAGGGGCTGCCGAAGAAAGACCACCCCACCCAAACCAAGTGCAAGTGAAGGAGAGACAGCCCAGAATCTAACGGGGGGTGAAGGTGAAGTCTGCTTCCTGAGGACATCTCTACCCTCAATTTGAGAAAAGCTGAAAAGCAGGATCCCAGGAGTATCTATCCCAGGAAGGCCTCTCCGATTAGTTCAATTGAATAAACATTTACTGATGACCTTCTGCATCCCAGCCCCTGTGCCGGGTGTGGGGCATGAGACAGAGGTAAACCCTAACCTTGAGGGGCTTCCCCTCAAGGACAGAGGTAGCGACATACACAGATGAGTAACAGACAAGGACCGAGAGCTCCAGTTTACACAACAGGAGTCAGCCGAATTGAGCAAGAGCAACTTGTCAGTTTGGATTTACCGGTGACTGTCTGCTTTATCAGACTCTGTATTACAAGAAGATGGATCAGAATCCTTAGAGGTAAGAGTTTTTGCCAACAAGTTCACAATAACTGTATTGATATCAATCCAATTTTTGGCCAGTGTCTTAGGAACAGGGGCACTGATGGGTGGGCTGAGATGTGCCTTAACAAGGTGGGAGTGCTCAGAGAAGCCAGCATCACCTACATTCCCTCCTTTCCTGGCAGTGGTGTTAGACTCGGCACCCACGGGACTGCCTGGCATAACCCCGCCTCCTCGGTGGGGACCCAACCATGAACCACTTCCTATTACCTGTATCTCCTGTCGATGGTGAGATTCTCCTGGATCTCTGTCGAGCTTGCTGCTTATATCCTCCCGCAGCTTCTGCAGACAGTTCCTGGCCTGGGAGGGGAGGGCAAGGAGCTTCAGCCTTGGGCTAGAGAAAGAGGGCACCCAACTCACCCCCTTTTGCGCCCATCCCCAACTATACCCCTAGGAGTCAGACCCTGTGCTAAGCACTGGCTGGGGGAAGGAGAGTCTCTAATCAAGTGGGGCTACAGCCCAGTGCCTCCTACACACACAACAAAATTAGCAAACCCTCTGCCCCGGGAGCTAACATTCTGGTTGGGGAGACACACAACACAAAAGCCAAACACGTGATACGGAGATAGGGTGAGGGTTAGGAAAAGCAGAGCTGGCAATTTTAGGTAGAATGGCTGGGGGCGGGGGGGAGAGGGGGGGGGCACATGGTATTCATTAAGTATTTGTTGATTAATAGAAGGGTCAGAAGTGATATTTAACATATGACTGGGCATCATGGCACTTTTTTTTTCTTCTTTTTTTTTTAAAATATATTTTTATTGATTTTTTACAGAGAGGAAGGGAGAGGTATAGAGAGTTAGAAACATCAATGAGAGAGAAACATTGATCAGCTGCCTCCTGCACACTCCCTACTGGGGATGTGCCCGCAACCAGGATACATGCCCTTGACAGGAATCAAACCTGGGACCCTTCAGTCCGCAGGCCGACGCTCTATCCACTGAGCCAAACCAGTCAGGGCCATCATGGCACTTTTTAAAAAATATATATTTTTACTGATTTCAGAAAGGAAGGGAGAGAAAGAAATAAACATCAATGATCAGAGAGAATCATTGATTAGCTGCCTCTTGCTCACCCCACATTGGGGATCAAGCCCACCACCTGGGCATGTGCCTTGACTGGGAATCGAACCGTGACCTCCTGGTTCATAGGTCGATGCTCAACCACTGAGCCACGCCAGCCAGGCCATGGCACTTTATAGAGATAGGAAGAGAGCAGAAGGGAGACAATCAGAACCCACAAAGGAGCCAAAAAGTGTGAGATTTAGAGAAATGACCACGGTCATCTCCCCGGAGAGAAGGGGTGCCCACCTCCTGGATGTACTGGACCTCACTCTTCAGCTGGTTAATATTCTTCTCATGGATCATCTTGTCTCCAGACCTCCCCTTCAAGTACACCTGAAATGGAGAAAACCACACTACTTCGTTAAGGAACCTCGGTTGCACCAGTTCCACAGGCAGCCTCAGGCACTGCTGGTGGGAGGGTAAATTGTTACACCTTGCTGGGTGGCAATTTGGTGATTCAGATCAGAAGACTTACAACTATATTTACTCTTCCGCCTATCAAATCTACTTCTGGAAATGTAGCCTAATGAAATAAATTTACCTAAACTGGCGTAAACACTCAAATATAAATTCATGGAAAGAGGGATGTAAAGGGAATTTACACATTTTTCTCTACATAACATGCTTGAATATTTTACAATTGAGAAAATGTTTCTTTATTACTTGTGTTATATAAGACACACAATTTAATAACATGTTCGGCAAAATATTGTCTATGGCTGCAAAAATATAAACAAACAAATGTCTAACAATGGGAAATTACATAAATAAATTATGGTTTCTTAACAGAATACTATGCAGCCACTAGAATACCAGATATGTACATTTATGGACACAGAAGATGGTATAAACTACAATTAAATTGGCGGGGGGGTGGGCAAGCAAATTGTAAAATAAAGTATATAATACAATTCTGTTTTGTTGTTGTTGTTTTAATCCTCACCAAAGGATATTTTTTTCCATTGACTTTTACAGAGAGGGTGGAAGAGAGAGGGAAAGACAGAGAGAAACATATTGATTGGTTGCCTCCTACATACGCCCTGACCGGGGCCAGGCCGGGGAGGAGCCTGCAACCGAGGTATGTGCCCTTGACCAGAATCGAACCCGGGATCCTTCAGTCAGCAGACTGACACTCTATCCAATAAGCCAAACTGGCTAGAGCCAATTCTATGTTTTGAAAAAAAACAACATATGTATATAAAAATGTCTGGGAGGATATACAATAAAGTGTTTGTTAATAAGGATTACATTGATAGAATTATAAGGTAGTTTTACTTTCTTTAAGGGCCATGCAATAACTTTAACATATTGACATGTGTCACAACATGGCTAAACTTTAAGACCACCTGTTGTATTATCCCATAAAATGTCTAGAAGAGGCAAATCCATCAAGACAGAAGGTAGATTAGTGATTGCCAGGAGCTGGAAGGAGCGATCTGGTATTAATAGTCATTCATGTTGGTTGCTCAGCTCTGTGAATATATTAAAAACCACTGAACACTTTAAGTTGATTTATGATATGTGAACTGTATCTCAAAAAGCTGTTTTATAAAAAGGAATCAAAGTCCTGGCCAGAGTGGCTCAGTTGGAGCATCGTCCTGTACACGGAAAGATGGCGGGTTCGATTCCTGGTCAGGGCACATACGCAGGTTGCAGGCTAGATTCCCAGTTGGGGCATGTTTCGGAGGCAACCAATCAATGTTTCTCTCTCACATCAATGCCTCTCTCTCTCTCTCTCTCTCTCTCTCTCTCTCTCAAATCAATTTTTAAAAACGTTTTTTAAATAAATAAAAAGAAATCACAAAAATTGTTTTAATTTTTAAAACTAAGTTCCATAAACACGCCTCCCACTTGTCTCCATGACCTCGACATCTAAACACGGTCAGTGCACAGACACCAAAGAAGGTCATCCCTCCCATCCCCGTGTCCGGGCCAGGTTGCATCAAAGTCACTACAGACTGACTGGTCTCCTGGTGTTAATTAAGGTTTTTCCAGGAGATGATCAGGAACTAGCGTCACAGGTCTGGCTCTTCCTAGTCAAACCAGAAGTTCCCTTTGGCAAAGTCAGCCACTGCTGCCTCTCACATGCAGTGGGAGAAAGAATGGAGGGTGAACTAGCTTACCTTAATGATCTCCTCATGTCCATCGTTGGATTCCACCAGTTCTGAGGCCAGAGAATGACTGGGTGAGTGGCCAGACACCATGGCATAGGTCTTCCTGCCCGCCTGAGAGAGAGAGAGAGAGAGAGAGAGAGAGAGAGAGAGAGAGAGAGAGAGAGGTGGCTCAGACACCATATGGGAAGCCCAGAACTTCTGCACCTTGACCAATGCAGACAACCTGCTCCTCCAAAGACCTGAAGGGTTAGTCTGACCTTCCCCTCCAAACATTCATTTCAAAACCTCTACCAGAAGCCACACAGCAGCAAGAACACCAGGCGGAGAAAATTAGTAGAAATTGCAGGTTAGTTTCCATTTTAGGGGGGTCTCCCCATCCTCCAAAGCAGCGCCACGCTGAGGTCAGCTGGGTGTGCCGGAAAGAAAATGCTCCCAGGCAGCAGCAGCGGTGGCTCCAGGCAGCACTGGAATGAGGGGTCAGCGGCAAGGGAGGAGGCCTCACCCCACCAGAGACCTCCATACCTTCTGGGCTATGTGTTCAAGTTCATCTCCTGTCAGTTCACTCTGGAGAGTCAGTCTGAGAATGTCCACGCTGCCCTAATAATGACAATCACAGCAACATAACCTTTATCTTCGGTCTACGACTGGCCCAGGTGCACTTCTGCCAGCCCTGTGGGGTGGGCCTTATTGTCGCCATTTCACAGACAAGAAAAGCTGAGGTCTGGAGAGGTGACACATCAGCTTGCCCAAGGTCAGGCCACTTCAGTGTGGCAGGCTGCCTCCGGGACTTCTGACAGTGCTCTACCCCCACCAGAGTCCACACAGCACGCTGCTCCACGCAGCTCCAGAGGGGCCACGCTGGTCCTCAGATTACAGGAAGCACATGGCATGGACTCCCTTTTCCTTGAAGAAGGCATCCCTGGATCGGTCATCCCCAATCCAGATTTTCTGCACCTGACAGCCAACCAAGAAGTTATTGATATATTTTACAAGACCAGGATATCTTTCCTGAACCAAACTATAGGAAAGTATCTGAATCCAAACTCCTGTTTCTACGAGCCACACAGAAATTATCCAAATGAAAGAAAGCAAGACAATGGGTATTTATCTAGAGATCAGCCTCGTTTCAATGGAAGAAGCAGATTCCTTCCTGTACACCAAATATACCATGGTTGATGTTAAGATTGGGGAAAACTGGGTGAAAAACATACAAGAGTTCCCTGTACTATCTTTGTAATTTTTCTGTAAATATAAAATGATTCCAAATTAAAAGTATTTTAAAAAAGAGAGAAAGGGGTGGGGGAGGAAGGAGAGAAAGAGGGAGAGAGTGCCCAACAGAAAAATGGGCAAAACAATTTAATAAACACATCACATAGGAGGATATCCAAATGGCCAATAAACATGAAAAAAGGATTCACCCTCATTAGTCATCATCATCAAAGAACCAGAACCACAGATAATAGGACAAATTACCCATAAGAATGAAAACAAACAAAAATACCCAAATGGTGGGGGATTTGGAATAATGGAAACTCTCATACACTGGCAGTGGGACTGCTCATTGTCACAATCACTTTGGAAAATCTACCAAAGATGAACATAGGCATGCCCTATAACATGGCAATTCCACACCTAGTATCCTCCCAGCAGAAATGCTGGCATATGTTCCCCATAAAAACATATACTAGTATCTTCATAACAGCATTTTAATAGCCCAAAACTAGAAATTAGCCTAATAGTCATCACGAGTAGAATGGATGATTTTGACATAGCCATACAATGGAACATTGTACAAGAAAAAGAATGAAATACTGTTCATGCAACATGGATAAACCTCACAGTAATGGTAACCAAAAGAATCCAGACACCACCAAAGTATACTATATGATTTCAATAAAAAGTATAAAAACAAGCAAAATTAATATATGCTTTAGAAGTCAGGATAATAGTTACCTTCAGGGTGGAGAGTAGTTAATGCCTATAAAGGGACAAGAGGGAACACTTCTGTAGTTGCTGGTAATGACCTGTTTCTTATCTGGGTGCTGGTTAGAGGAGTGTGTCCAGTTTGTGAAAATTGCTTGACTGTACATTTATGACATATGCACTTTCATGGATGTATGTTATTGTTAAATAGAATGCTTAAAAAACAAGCAAACAAAAATGAAATACTCCTTATTGTGGCATTAAAGTCACCTCATGATGGGGCCTAACACAGGGGTCCTCAAACTTTTTAAACAGGGGGCCAGTTCACTGTCCCTCAGACCGTTGGAGGGCCAGACTACAGTTTTTAAAAAAACTATGAACAAATTCCTATGCACACTGCACATATCTTATTTTGAAGTAAAAAAACAAAACGGGAACAAATACAATATTTGTATTTGCATGTGGCCCGTGGGCCGTCGTTTGAGGATCCCTGGTCTATACACTCTAACTTTCCCAAACTTCCCTAATCCAGTTGTATAAAGGCATCCAATCCAAAGCTCTCCTTCTCTTGGTCAGTCTTCTAATGCAGCACACGCTCCCACCTCCCCAGAGGTGCAGGCATTGTTTTCTCCTCCTGGGTCACCCTCCCTCTCTCGCCTCCCTGAAACATTCCCACTCAGCCTCCGTAGCCTAGCCTGGGTATCCTTTCTCTGAAGGTCCTACCCCAGCACTCCTCAGTCAGGGCCTGCTCCCTGCACACCACACATCCCACGCTGCTCACACTGACCCACCTCATTCCTTCGTTAACTACGTATTCAATCATCTCCCCCAATAAAATCCTAAGCTCCTTGACAACAAGGAGAGCTTATGTTTAGCACGATGCCTGGCTAGAGTCTACTTGAAAAATGTGTTCCAGGTGAGAACGTCAGAGTGCTCAGCTCAGAGAAGTGGTATAAAGTACTGGGGAAAGCAGGCACTAAGAGGAGGGGGGCGTAAAGGGGAGAAAAGAGCAAGGGCTAAGAAAAGCAACTCCGAGAAGAAATAAAAGTGACTAATGGATATGTATAAGATGCTCCACGTTACTAGTAATCAAGAAACTGCAAGTCAAGACACCAGTGCTACCAACTTACAGATTTAGGAAGTATCAAAGTAAGGCATGTAGAAGTATGCTCACAGCAGCATTGCTGGCAATGGCAAACGCTGGAAGCAACCCAGATGGTCCACTGATAAGCAAATGCATGAATTAACTCCGGTGTATTCGTACAATGAAATTCAGCTGTAGCAATAAATGGACCGCAGCTACCTCCGTCGACATGAATGAATTTCAGAATTAATTTTAAGTGAAAAAGTGAGCTATAGGATATAAATGAGCAGCAAAAATGTATTTGTGCAGCACTCCTATCCTATATAATACAAGGGTAATATGCTAATTAGACCAGATGTCCTTCCAGATGAAGCCAGGGCTACGAGCGCTGAGGCAGAGGCTGCAGCAGCATCCGAGCCCCTTGCAGGAATTTCGTGCATCCGGCCTCTAGTAATTAAATATATAAAAAGAGAGAGGAGGGACAGTTCCAAACCTGGAGTCAGAGGTGAGGTCTGAGTCCAACTGACAGCTATTCATCCTTTAGCAAATCACTTTCTTTCTCTGGGCCTCAGTTTCCTATCTGCAAAATGGGAATGATAATACCTACCCTGCCTTTAGGCAGGTAGGGACATGTGTAGACACAGTGTGAAAGTGCTTTGCAAACCATAAATCACAGCCTTACTTTCCCAAGGAGCTCTGGAAAGACTACAAGGGAGGGGGGAGGAAGGGGGAGGTGAGAGTGAGGCAAACTGTCTAAATGGAGCCTGTGACTAAATCTAGGGTTCTCTCTGGCACCTCATTCTCCAAAATCAGAGAACCCAGTCAGCAAGGGCACAGACCTCACCGCACAACCCCAACCCAGAGTCCAGGGGGGAAACCCGGGCCCCTCTGTGCTGGGTGCCCCTGGTTGGTTTCTGGAGCTAGAGTGACCTCAGGGTTTCAGTGCGCTCCGGGGACTATAGGAATGCCCCCAAGTGTCCAGCAGGGTGGTCCCCACTGGGATTGTCTGAAGGGCAGGATACAAAGTGGAGCATTCTTCTCCAGGGGAAAAAGGGGCAGAGCTAATCACAAGGTAAGCAGCCTCTAACCTCATAAACAGTCTTGGGGAGAGGCCCAGCCACCTTCAAATTACAGGCGGCCTCTCACTCTGTTCAAACACATCTCCAGCCCAGCTGTGACTCACTCCTCCGAGCGGGAGGGAGGGGGTAAACACATAGCTGAGGGGTTAGAGATCTAGACGCTGGGAGATAAACAGGGAGGCCCCAGAGGTTCTCACATCTCAGGCTTATGTGAACAGGGAAAGATCTATGGGAAAAATCTAGGTTTCCCCCAACCCCACTCCCCAGGCTTCTAGGGGGGCCATGCAGACTGAGGGGTGGGTGAGGGTCCAGGGTCTTTCTAAGAGGAAATAAGGGAAGTGCAGACTGCCCCTGAGCTGGAAATCAGCGTCCTTAATTCATCTTCACCCTGTAACCCGCTACTCCACTGCGTTGTCCCTCAATCATCCTTTCTTCCACCCAAATGTATGTGTTCTCTCACATTACTGCAGTAACAGCCACCTCAGTTGTCCCGCTCTGAGAAATGGGAATAGCTAGCCTCTTGAAACACTGGCTCCCAAGAGGCAGGGTGAGGAAAGCCCCACTAAAATCAAAGAAGAAGGCCAGATAGCGAGTTGGGGGCCTATCCCCTCTCTGCTGAGACTTCCAGCCCACTCAGCCTGCAGGTGTCAGGTGTCCTTGGTCCTGCCTTCTGCAGAGCCCTCTGGGCCAGACGTGGCCCTTTATTGAGTCTGACACAAAGAATCATTCCCACTCCTCCCCACAGATCAGCCAACAAAGCAGGTGTTTGCTTTCTGTCTGGCTACCTGCCCAATACCATGGGCTGGAAAACCTCTATTCAGAGGCCTAACGGGGTGCCTGGGAGGTGGAATGAGAAAAAGGGACTTAGGATGGGGCAGCCCGTCTCATCGCCTGGAGCCCTGGCACGGGAAAAGCTGGGGCCTAGCAGGGAGAGTGCCCACATAGAGGAGGGTGGGCTCCCAAGCTCTCAGCTCTGAAGGACACACCCATTCTGCTGAGCCGTGTGCCTCTCTCTCTCTCTCTCTCTCTCTCTCTCTCTCTCTCTCTCTCTCTCTCTCTCTCTCTCTCTCTCTCTCGCCAGGAAACCTGCCCACCGTGCCCAGCCAATGCAGGTGAAGGGGTGGTCCCTCAGCGCCCCCTCCCCTCAAAGGGCTGGTACCAGTGACCCGGCCGCTTTAGTCTCTGACCACCTTGTTTGTGATGTTTTTCCCTTTTGTGACCCCATTTCCTTTTCTTCCTTCATCTCCCCGTTCCAATCCTACCCTGTATTTTCTTCTCTTCCTGTCCCTGCTGGCCAGGCTTAAATCTGGGCCATGAGCCTCCCTGGCACATACCCATTTCTCCAACTAACCCTCCCCACCCCAGGAAACAAAGGTATTTCACAAGACTCTGTATAACCCAAAGAGGCATCTACCAGAATTACCAGCAGCAGGGAAGCTCGTCCCACCTGCTCTGAGCGCACGTGCCTGCAACCGAAACCATCTGGGCGCGCGCACACCCACCCTGGAGAA